AGGTATACATTCAGAATGTACGAAAGGGGAAATTTTGCATGCTACATTCAAGAGTCATGACACAAAAAGAAAAAAAAAAAAAACAGACAGAAAAGTACGCATTGAACCAATTGCTTCATGTCCTTACTCTGAATTGAGTACACTTGGTTGCCGGGTGATTTCTCCCTCCTCTCCATGCAAGGCCACATCTCCAGTCAGTCTGCTGACCAGAGACTCCATCCTCCTAGAAATGTCCTCACATCTCAACATTAGCTTCGTCACAGCTGCTCGTGTGCGGATCAGCTCCTGGCAACCTGTCAGGGTATCATAGCTCAGTCCTTTGGTGGAATCAAATTTTTCTACCTAAAAATAATTCAATATTTTAATGTACTTTTAACATAGTCATCAGATGTAAAATTGCATACTCATCTTCACCAGCATGAGTATTTTCTTCTATCTGCCATTAACATCAATATGTTAAATTACTGTTGGTAGTTTTTATCATCATAGATGAAACTGACACTAATTTGACCTTTACAACAACCAGTCAAAGAAATCAAATTTTTCAATTTATTATGACAATATTTCCTCCTGTTAATTAACTGTGACCTACCAAATCCTGAAAGCTTTCAAAAGGCCTTAAACTCATAATTAGTTCAGCTTTTTTCTTGGAGCAGGTGGGCATATTAAGGAGCTCTTCATATATTGCTTCATTGAAGAAAGAAAACACCATCTCCCTGGCAGCCTGACGCCGTGTGTCATCTTCATCAAACTAAGGAGATATGCAATTTTAACTTAGAAAATAGGTTGCTAACACTGGCAACATTACTAATAATGTAAATGACAACACTTTAATATATTACTACTACATGGTGCTGAATATACATTTACTGAATTATATAATTATTATGTAATATTAGAGAATTATATGAAAGGAGACCAATGCATCAAAAAATACCATTATGCTGATGTCCAAAATTCAATTACTGCAATGATCCATGAAGTAATCAAATATCTGCATGTAAATAAGTAATCTAGAGAGCAAACACTAACAGATGTATGCGGAGTAGAGAGAACTTCACATATAAAATAGACTCACCTCAATGCTACTATCACTGTCATAGGCACCCATTTCAAACTCCTCTTCTTCCTCCTCAAAATCTTTAACGTTTTTCCTTTTTGCTGTGTCTGAAAAAAAACATACATAATTATATCTTTTTCACTCCAGACAAGACCACTACCATGTTACAAGGGAAATAAATTAATTATTAATTCATCACATCCACTTGATTCAATATTTACTATTCAGTACAAGATCCTTTAATGACTACAAGTGTGGCTGTTTATGGAAGAAGAGGGGGGAGGTTAATTTGACTGGACATACACTGAATATGCTGTTGTTTAACAGGCAGTGATGTAGAAGGCTGGTTGCTGTCTTCATCAGATATCTCAATAACTTCTTTGTCACCATCATGTTGCTGGTCACTTTGGTCATCCCCCTGGCTTTGGAATGCTGTCAAGGACTCGGTGGCCTGTTCCACTGACCACTGGTTATCTGACAGTACCACAGACAGATCCTAAGGAGAACATATAGAGTTGACAGTTAAAGCACCTTGTACCTGGCTATGTTTATCATTTAATACATAGAATGATAACTTTTTATAACATGATCTATGCAATTTCACTATTGTTCAGTATCAAAATATAGCTGCTATGGGACTCAAAAGCAAGTGTCAAAGATTTTGAGGAGTACAAAATTCTCAGCCATAAACATATCCAACTGGTCTAACAAACAATTCTTGGAAATCGCAAATACTTTGAGAGCCAATTTTTACATGCAATGAAATCATGGCTTAAAAAATACATTGATTATTTAATAAAATTAAATGCCATTACCTTTTCAGGGATATTTGGGAATGCTTCTTTAAGAAATCTAATCCTTTCTTGTTTGGTTTCTTCATCTATATGAAAACTAGCAACCTCCTCCTCCTGTGAATGCTGGGAACTAGAGCTGTCTATCCGCAGTGGCCGGCATTTCTTAGACCTTGGAAAAGATATGTCAGACTCCACACTCTCCTGGCTTTCCTGGCGTGACCTCTTCCTCTCTAGAATATTTTTTGCGAAAAAATATCATTTTTATATCATCTCAGTGAAATCTTAATACTGCAAGCAGTCTGATACTACTTCAACAAAGCACTGATTACAAATTATGACTTTGATACATAGTCTTTGAAAATGACCACTAGCCTCACACCAAATGCCAATGAAATTGAAGTAAGGCTAGTAAAATTTTGTAAATATATTCAGTAACTGCCCACCTTCTACTTTAGGCCATTAGACCCGTAGACCCTGACTGGTATGAAGGACCAGAGGGCAAAAAGTTATTTGGCAAAGACTGTACACACAAGACATACCTGAAGTGCCCATTGTGTCAAATGCTATAACAGCATCTATTGCTTGGTCCAAGTTAGGGGTAGATTTAATTGCCTGTTCCAGATACACTCTTGGCCTGGTCGGAAACAACTCCTGTAACGCAGTTAGTTTCTCACAAAACTCTGTCTCTGCTTTGTGACTAAGATCCACAGTTCCGTTCAATACTTGTTTACCAAATTCTTTGGACAGCCATGGAGTTTTCAGTGGAGATTTGGCAGATTCTTCTTCAGAGTCTGTTTCTAAAATGCGAGCAGGTGCTTTCCTTCCCTTGGTCTTTGTGAATACTGGACTAGACATTGGACTGGAGTCCTGCTGGACTTTGGTAAATATTGGACTAGATATAGGACTTGGGTGACTGGCTTCTGGAGTTTCTGGGATCACAGTCACTGAGGGGATAGAGTTACAGTGAATTAAGGACCAATAATATAATATGAAGAATAGAATCTTTCAACAAAGCTTACAAAAATGCTTTTACTATGTACACTTCATTTTCTCACAAATTTTACGTTGTTTGGGTGCAAAAAATATACTGATGGTGGAAATTTATGTTTGAGTCAATACCATTACAATTTTTGAATTTGTGACCACTTTCCATTTTTTCATTCCTTAAAGATGCATACAAAGTCAATTTTTTTGCTGCAAAAACCGACCAAATGCCAGCATATAGTTTCAAGTAGTATAACTAAGAGAGTTACCAAAAGGATTTTACCAAAAAAGCTCTTTTATGGCTGATCGAGTGATCTATTCAGTTTATCCCCTGGCAGGTCAAAATTATTTGAGTCGTATAAGAAACTACTAGAAGTAGTTTACATGATTGAGAGTGTACTAACACAATCTTTCACCGTCTGGTACGGTAGTGCTACAGCAGAGGACAAGAATCGCCTCAATCGCGTAGTAAAAACTGCCAGGCGCATTGTAGGTAGGGACTTGCCGTCTATTGAATGTTTGTATACGAGACGAGTGCTCAAGAAAGTAATGTCAATCACGGGTGAACCTGGTCACCCAGCGTATAGCCTACTTATGCATATGTCAACAAGCCGACTACGGTCATTAAAAGCAACCTCCACGCGCATTAAAAATAGTTTTTATCCATCAGCAGTACGTATTTTTAATGAACAAAATGTATTTTAATAATTCCACTGTATCACATTTTATCGACAGATCATACCAATTTTCATTTTATACTTGTATCAATATGACAATAAATAAATTATTATTATAAATTAGTATGTGTTACTGGGAATCCACGCTCCACCGATGCTCAGTTCGTATGTACCTTTAACTAGACCTTTAAGGCTAAATAAATAATAGGTGTAAGTGTGTGATGTAAGCATACATTTCAGTACACAAACATGTACTAACCCTGTTGTTTTTCTGGAGTTGAGGGTTGGGCCCTGGTGACTTCCACCCCATTCTTGACACTCTGCACTTTGTTAACCGCTGTCTTCTGAAACCTGTACTTAAGCAGACTGGATACACCAGTTTTATTCCTGCCACTGTCACCATTCTCAAGACATTTGGACTCCGAGCTTGGCTGAGACCCACTCATGGTACAGCAGCGCCTGTGCTATAAAAGAGAATTACCATTAAAATGGACCTAAATTCTCTAAAAGCGACCCATTAATGACCGTTTTCCTTACTAAGGCCCGCTAACAGTAACAATCATTCATCATTCACACAGATCAGCTCGCGTCCACCATAAAACAAATAAAAATCATGTGATTAGATTGTCACATTATTTTTCAAAGGAAGTTAACCAATAGCACATTTAGATAATGGTTTTGCTGAAGTTGGCAATTATCACATTATCAGAAAAAACGTCACTCACGGTACCGCGGTAGAATGTGATCAAACCAACAATATATATTTACAGAAATTTCCACTTACAAAGACTTCTGAGTGTCAGATCGGTATCTTATAGTTACACAGGTTACGCTAGTAAACTACCTGAAAAGACCACTTTCCTATGTGTCACAGTAGCTATGCTTCAATCACTGGTAAAATGCATGTTATGTATCTGTAAGCTCCCCGCTCTGGTCGGAGAAAATAGATGGCGCTGTTCAAGACAAGCTTCAATGTTATAAGTACCCGCTTCCAGGGGCCCACAGTGATAATGGGTGCATTCACAGTGAATGTATAGTATTAGCTACTATGCACTAACTCCAGAGGACCCTCGCTGAATGCAATGGCATACAACACTTTAAAGTCGTGGTAGGCCTACCCTTTTTGGACCATAAATGACCTTTGTTTAGTCTTGTTCAATTCATAAATTGGGGATGCCGATTTTCACTAAAAAAATTCTGATATTTCAATAAGGCAAGGACACAAATAAAAAACAGAATAATTAATTATTCGATAAGCCCTTGGTGTTGGGACAAAAACGATTAATAGGAGTGTATCTGAAAGGGGGCCGTAGCAATAGTCCGAAGGTTCAATAGTCCGAAGGTTCATTGGTCCGAATATTCACTATAGAACCTTCGGACCAATGAACCCTTGATTAAAAAATCGATGAAAATGTTACCACTTTTCGGACCAATGAACCTTCGGACCAATGAACCTTCGGACTATCGAGACGCCCCTTCTGAAAGAACTAAATAGGGGCCTACATGTACAATAAAAAGAGCAACCGTATGCCTACATGAGAAAATTCCACACCTGTGCTGTGACCAGAATATGGATGTAGGCTAACTATTTCTTCCCTCTTACTGCCTAGAAAATATCCAATTTTATCCAAACATCACAATAACGCCCACTGCACACTTTGTGAACAAGCCGTGTAGAATGTATATATGCAGAGTTTACAGTCAGCATGGTTTCTTTTCATAACATTGCAGCATCCAAATAGTTATGATGATCAGTACACAGACAATGTTACATCTATAGGCTACTAGCAATGGAAAAAAAAAATAAAAGAGAAAAATGAACATTCAGTGAAGTGCCTAGATATATTCTGGCTAATAACATTCATCAAATAAGAACGCAAGATTGTAATGTAATGTAAGCCTTACGACACCGGATCACGGTCACGTTGTTCAGCTTCAAAAATTTGATATCTAGGCATGTATTGAGCATGATTTGTCTGTACCAGAACACCTTGACATGTAATTATGTCTGTTACTGAATAACAATCTGAAATCGAAATTGGAGAGGGATTTAAGGGAGTGATGTAAGGCACAGGAGTATATTGTGTGGTGTATAACTACCTAAACATGCACTGACAGTGACTTTGTGTGTGTGTGTGTGTGTGTGTGAAACGGTTTTCTACCTGGAGTACCGCGAGTAGCGGGAATTAGGGGGGTCGCGTAATCTAGATTTTTGCGTAATAATGCAAGCATTTTCGTATTCATGCCTTGCTAGTACGGAAAGTTTTCGTATTCAGTAAAGAAGGTTTTAAAAAACCATTTTGGATAATATTCGCACGTTACTCATACTACCAAAAATTAGACTGTTCTACAGGGGTTACGAGATGCACATTTATTTTACTGGCACATTTTGTCCTCAACAACCAAGTACATGTTTCACAATGCTTGTTAACGAAATTACTGTCTATGAAAATGCAGTTTCGTCTAAAACAATTAACTGTGTCCTGCCATCATATCGTCTAGCTAATCATGGATATAACTTAAGATTCTTTAAATGAGAATCATAGAGTATTCTCGTGGCAGGCGAAGCAAGTCCCGAGTTCGATTTTCAAGCAGTGTCGGTCACCTCACTTAAAAAACACAAATGAAGCTATTGTGTGCCTGGCCATGAAAACATTGATAATGAGCAATTTACCTATTAGCATGTAAGCATATATGTACCTGATATCAGTATAGGGCCTACCTTGAATGTGCAAAAAAAAATATTCATTTGTTTCTGCTGCCTGGTATAAGTTAATCGAGATTTTTCATGTGACCCACTGCTGCTTTCTTTTGTTTCGTAAAATCACAATAACTTGTTTTTTATTTCAAAGAATAACAACTCAGTTAATTCCGAAATATGTTTTACAGTACTGAGGTGACTGTATCTGGTAAGTCCAGTGTACTTTCAATTGACTCACTACAATTCACTACAATCAAAACAATCATGCTCCCTCAGGCTGCCTCGAAAATGCGGTCACACTACTTCATTATCCACATTTTGGATCAGTGTTCGAATACACACGTACTATAGTGTCCTGCGAGACGTTCACGGCTACCTGTACCAGTTTAACGGACATCGGGCCTATCATAAATTTGGGGAGAAGGTATGTTGCTCAGAAATTGTCATCAAATTTGTCTGTACATTTCGGAGTCACTGCGTAATACTTATCACTCTTATTATAAAATAAAATGATAAACAAAATAATCAAAATAAAAATATAGTTAATAAAATGTGTATGTTAAAAATATTTCAATCAATTATGGGCATCACTTTCAAACGCCACCCCCTATTAACAAGTTGACCAGGGACGCCACCATGTGACTTTATATCACTGAAGCTATAAAAGCGCGAAATTTTGAAATTGCGTTCACTCAACGCAGACAGATCTGGAGCAGCGAGGAGGATGCCATGTATTGCGCCCCGTATCAAGCAAAAAGGAAACAGGAGTCAACTCGCATTTCTGCGAATCTTTTCCTCGTCCCAAGTCAACGCATCGCTCATCGACATGTTGTTTCTCGCACACGCAGTCGTCTTTACGGTGGATTCGACGTTTCGTTTAGCTGGCCAGCTAAAAACCTTCGCTTCTCCTTATCCTCGCTCAGGAATCCTCGCTCAGGAATCGTCGCTCAGGAATCTTCGCAGGATACATCATCGGCTCTCTGCTATTGTGGGCTATATTGTTGTAGTGTCACTGCATATGTTTCTGTGCATTCCAGGTTTCTTTACATACATGTACATAGGTAAGAAAAGTCATTAATCCATTTTTCTTTCTTTTAACAGAACTCGATTATAGCGATTCTCGATAGAGCTCCCATTGACAACTGCAAGGGGAAGAGGGCCACATCTACGCTTCAGCTTCTTCGATCAATCC